TGTTTATTTGCATTATGAAAGATGGTGTGGAACAGTATAAATTTTCAAAAGACTGTTTACTGTTTCAAAACGCAATCTGCCAAGGATCTTACAAGAATTTGTGTTCAATGCCCATTACTCCCCCCACCCCAATACCCAGGGAAATTGTATGCTTTTATATATTTGGCATTGCTATCAAAAGTCATTGCCTAATTTAAAAAAATATTCCTGGATCTTTTATTGATCGATTTCTCTTATAGAAGGTATAGTATAGCATCTAAACTGAAAAAGTATTATTAGAAAATGGTATTGGGAGTGTTAGGATGTATAATTCATGTTGCTTTGCTCAGACCATTGTAAAAATCCATAAATCATTTTCTTGCTCATGTATTGCTTAAGTGCAATTTGTCATTTTGCATTAGAGCGCTGCTTCAGGCCATCCAGTGCTTTTAATTCACTGTTTAGAGTTTAACAAAATACTGGCTCTGTTGGATAAATGGAAATATTCTGCAATGTGAAGCCAGACCAATATTCACTAGGTTAAACAAAATAGAGACTGCACATTTCTACTTGGAATATCAGGATAGTGGAGTTTAACAGAATACTTAGGACCCTTAGTTATCTGACTACTTTCGGTAGCATAAACTACAAATCTTTTCCAGAAATTCTAATCAACATCCACCCTTTGCTACAGGTGCACATAGGAACACAGTTTAACTTAAGCTCCAAAACCTTTCTTGTCTTCCTCTTACCTTGTGCTAATGTAGCACACATGAACCTATTTCATGTTTATCTATAAAACGAGCAGCCACACTGAGTCCTTTTCATGTGACCTCTGATGGGACTTCTTGGGAGTTACAAAGGACCAGAACCATCCAGTTCAAACCTGGTCCCATCTAACTTTTGAAACCTTCTTTGTAAAACATTAAAAAAATGTCCATCCAATTTCTAAAGGAATAGATTTTTAAAACCACCACATTTTCTCCCAAAGTTCCTAGCATAGTGTGATAATAAGAGGATTTAAAAACAAATTGCATTGGAGTCATATTAAATCACTGCAAACACTCCTTTATACAAAGGCTGGTGAACAAACTTGTCTCTCTTCTGCCCTCTCCAGCAAAAGGTAGAGAAGAAAGCAACCATGTTACCTGGTTTCTATGCACTTGGAGATGCTTAGCGCCCCCTTATTTCTATCTCACTTAAGAGATCACCGAAATCGACTAATATGCATTATCATTTTCTCACATGAAGCAAAATTTCTGAGAAATTTGATTTTTCTAATCTTACTCAGCGTTATTTAACACTTCTTTTCCACTGTCCTGGCATGTAATTTGTTGTAGTGCAGACAGGGGTCGTTCCTGGGGCGCAGAGGCTGAGGGTGAGATTGCTTGCACAACTTTGCCCAGAAGTGATGCAGGGTCCAGGGACAGAGTACACTTACTCTATCTACACTTCAAAGTGGTCGTCAGTCTCACCCTCCCCCCAGATTGCTGTATCTGTAAGCTTGTTTTGACTAAACTGAGGGGTTCAAGGGAAGGAGAGCAAAAAAGAGAGAGAAAAGTGTGTTAGAGGGGAGTTGGGGAGGGGGTGGGAGTTATTTAATTGCCACGAAGTGAGAAAACATACGTGTTAGGCTTAAAAGGTATTTCTGAAGGAAAACTTAAAGTGCTGTTTTTTTAGTTTAGGATCATAGGATGGGTTTCCTTTAAAGACCTTATGATCATGCCCACATCTAAATGTTCCTGAGGAAAAAAAAAAAAAAAAAAAAAAAAAAAACGCTCTTGCAATCTTTCTTGGATGGAGTTTTCTAGGGGAGGGAGGAGGGCCAGTCTCAGCTCTATTTGACCCAAGACCTATGGTCGCCTGTCTGGTCCCAGGCTGGCATCTCATAGATTAAAAGTCAGAGAAACCAGACCTGTGGAGGAGTCTGGCGTCTCTGGTGCCCAGTGCCACCTGCCTCTGTGATCCACGGAATCCAGCAGAGTTCCCAACAGGCGAGCCCTACTGTAGTCTGGCTCCACAGCGAAAATCATCTCGCGTGCCCTGTGCTACTTTAGCCGCTAGGAGTCGCCTGTAACCCACGTTTGCAGAGAGCCACCATTCAAACACCTCTGCCACCAAAAGAAAAAGAAAAAAAGGAAAAGAAAGGCTGCTTAAGCTTTCCAGAGGATGTAGTGATTATTTACCGGGAAATCTGGCCATCTCGCCACGTTCTCCTATCCACCTCTGTAAGCTCTCCAGCTTTCTGCAAATGCCCTAAGTCAGCTCAAACTTCAAGTCGGTGGCTGAAACGGAAACCCTCTCCCCCCAAACACATCTGCATCTGCAGTAATTCTGCCACGGTTCTCACACACAAACACGCGCGCACACACATGTGTCCCCATGCGTACAAATGAAGAGTGTAGAACATTACCGTGGTTTATTTCACAAGGTTCCGGGTTTCTGTGAGTCAGCTTGAGGAGCTAAAATCATTGCATTTGAACCCAATAGATCTGATGGAAAGGAAGGGGGAGGGGCGGGAAGCACAGAAGCAATCGCGTATTAATATTCGCATACACTATGAGCCCCTTTTCATTGATCCACAGGTCCTTTTATGCACTGCCGCTCCATTCTCAGCCGCAGACATGACGCTAAAATCATTTTAAACTACAACGGTTTGCGCTTGGGTTTGGCCGGTCGTCAGTTTACTGCAGCTGGAAAAGGATTAGCCATTTTTGCTGGCTTCTTTTGCTGATACCCGCTCAAAGGCAGAACCCATCTCTCAGCTAGAGCCAAGTGCTGGGGGATGGGGGAGCTGGGCGGCAGAGGCGGACTCTTGGGACTTGTCCGAGCTTGCCTCGGTGTCAATCAAGCGTGGAGACCAGCTCTCCTAATCCCCTGCCTGAAGGCCCCTGTAACGTACCTTGGGGTAGGAAAGGGTTCCGCGTTCCAGTAGGTTGAGGTGGTGTTACTCTTGGGTCATTCATTACCACGAAGCCACAGGGGAATCTTTCTATGCTTAGGCTTAAGGGGCTGCTCGGGTGAATAAACAACCTATTCCTTGCAAGCAGTACGCTGATTAATATGAAAACGTTTACTTCGCTATTTTTCCTTGGAGAATTGGCATTCAACACACTCTCCAGCACGGGAGAGTTCGCGCTGCATTGTAACTTCCCGGGAACTGGGCGTGTGGATGCCCCTCCGGAGTGGGTACTCCAGACTGGTCAAGAACCCCTGGGGTGACTCCGCACCGACTGGCACCCAGCTGAGTGAGCGGTCAAGGAGGGCCGAGGCCACTACCCGGAGAGTGCCAACGAGTACGTGGATACCCGCAGCGTTGCACACTCGAGCCCCTCCTATGTACCGCACGACTCCCCTCCCTGCCAGCGGTCCAGGCAGCCCTGCGGTGACCATCCAGAGAGATGGCTTCAGGCTGGGCAAGAATTGGCACCCTACCCAGCCCTTCTAGAGTGAAGGAGGTGAAGGACAGGCAATTACCATTAAAAAAAAAAAAAAAAAAAAAAAAAAATCCGGGGCTCCCTACCACTGCCTGGCTCCAGGCCAGGCGAGGCGCAGGGATATTGGAAGCCCCTGGAAGCGCTGGGTGGTGCTGGCACCCGTCCCTAGAGCCCGGGTGAGAATGGCGGGCTCCTAGGCAGAAGCTCCAATGAAGCTCTCAGTCCCTGATCGGCTACTCACAGTTGGAAGTAACCGCCACAAACCAGTTATTCTGTTAGGTAAGCATTTTATGGGCTCACATTTAAAGACGGATGACTCTGTCGGCGTCCGCTCGTCTATAGGAGCCGTCTTTCCACGTCCCTTAATGTGAATCCCTCCGCTTTGGGGGAGAATCACCTCTGCACCCCCATTCCACTCTGTCCTTCCCACACCGCCCCTTGGACCCTCATGCTCTGATTGACACATGCCATTTTAAACCCACTTTTTGTCACTGAGCATCTCTGCCAGAATCCCTTCATTAGGTAACCCCTGCTAATTAGTGGCCCTTGTGCAACTTTTTCCCCCTTCTTGGTGATTTCTTTCCATGATCAGCAGCAGGGAAAATACCTTAAAGGAAAAAAAAAAAAAAAAAAATGTTGCCCCCGTCGGAAATCCCCCTCCGGGGGGAGGAAACCGCAGCTTTTGTTTTTTTGTTTTCGTTGTTGCTATTGAAAAAA